TAGCTCCCCTACTGTCAACGTGTAGACTACTGAACACAGAGTGAACAGATTTGCGCATAGGGTTATAAATCGTGAAACCCCACAACAGTGTTAACAGATTAATGCGATTAGGGTTATAAAGTGTGAAACCCCGCAACTGTGTAATAATTAATTGTAGCCGTTACTTGTAGGTTGTTGAATAAACCAATTAACCATCTCTACGGCGTATTCAGTAATGAAACACGTTACAATATATATATAACAAATTTGTTTACTTAAGTTATGTTCAGCATAGAATAAAATTTCATCACAGGCTATCAGCTGTGGCCACACCACCTTTTATGCAATTATAAAATGTGAGCACTTCTTTATCTCCAGAGTCTGTATAGTGGTTATAGTTTGAATTTGCATTAGGCACAGTTTCTCTTTTCTCTGCCTACATGAGACCAAGGACTGCCTCTGTGGTCTAGTGGTCAGAGTTCCTGCCTACAGATCCAGAGGTCTGGGTTTGATTCACGGCACTACCAGATATTCTGAGTAGTAGTGTGTCTGGAATGGGGTCCACTCAGCCTCTTGAGGATAATTGAGCAGCTATTTCAAGGAAATAGTGACTCCAGTCTAGAAGACCGAGATTAATGGCCGCAAGGAATCGTTGCGTTGACCGCACAACACCCTCTATCTGCTAAAGTTTGCACTAACTTCTCCAACAAGCGGCGGTCACTTGGTCAGTATAGTTTGCTTGCAGACTCAAACCACGGAGTTTGTTTTTGTTTGTTTATATGAGACCAAGACTGGCATTGAAACCAAATGTGCTTGAATTAATTTCATGTCCTTTTCTGTTGACAGACTGTAGGGAGTTACTATTTGTTCCACCAAAATGTAACAGCATGGGTGAGATTGAAACTTTCAGAAATTTTTCTGACAGTTGTTCACTGGAGAAACAGTTATAAGCAGTTAGATTTCAGCATGTCCCATGTATAGGTGCAAAAAGGATTCTGTAAACCTTAGGGAGTGTATAGTATAGATATTGCTTTTGTGCCCATTGTGTATTGTTACTTGACTGTATGTATGTTTGTACTATTCTATCATGACAATTTCCAAATCCTTAATTTTGTATGGATCTATGGAAATACAAGTATGAGTACAGAGTTACTCAGCATCTCTTACTATGGTCATATTATCGTGGTAGTTGCTTACTGACATAAACTTCAAGATAGTGTGTATGGAAAGTGCACAACTTTACTAATGCAGATATAATGACATCATGATTTAAGGTTTTCTTGCAGTTGTTGTTACTGTTTTTGGATTCCCAAGAAAGGTCTCATATACACATTGCATACAATTGTCCCATTTTAAAGTTAATTGATTTAGGATTTTACCTGCATTTAGTGAATGAACTGTGTACATGTGTGGGTGTTGGTCCGCTTGTATGTGCATTTATTTCTAGGTGTCTGTTTCCCCAGTTTGGAGTATGTTTGATTTTATTGGTGGGGACAGTTGTAAGTAGGAAGTTTAAGGGATTCTCTGTAAACCTTAGAAAGTGTATAATATAGATTTGGAACATTCCACATGCTATGGAACAATGTTATCTCTACTAAGGCCACAGAAAGAAATTTCAAGGGGTGAACCTCTCCATATCTCCTTCAGGCTGCTATGCTTCAGTGTTTCTGTATTCCCTTCTAATCAGCTATCCATTCTCTTTACATAAATGTTGTTAATGATATTTTCTACCAACAAGCATTTTGGGCAGGCTGATGTAGGTCAGAGGTGATCGGACTGGGATGCAATGGTACGCGAAATGGAGGAAGCCTCAGCTACCATCAACCGTATTATCATAGGACATCTGTCTATGGCCATAGTATAGCATGGCCATTATTATTGCCACTGTACTATTTAATTATATATTTTCACTTTCTGCAGATTTTATGTGCTGCTGTTTTTGCCTTCCAGGTTATTGCGGTATGTCCTTTGGCGTGTAGGTTCAGGAGTGAAAGAGCTCAACCTTGGAGCGTCTTGTATTTTAAATGATGAATACCTTAACTTATTTATGCTCCAATGCCCCAGTGTTGTTCATCTGGATGTTAGCTACACAGCACTCTCCTTCCATGCATTTCACGGGTAAGAATCAGAAATTAGTAATTTTTTTTTATTTCTCTCCTTTATTGACAATCAAATTGTACAATCTATACGTCAATGTGCTGACTGGTGTACAATTTAATAACTGTTTATTGTACACTCTTCTGGTTAGTGCGGAATAAACATCCAGTGATGTTGTCCTCAGTTTGTTAGATCTGATGGCCAACTTCTTTTGAGTCTTCAATTTTCATGAGGTTGTAGTAGTGGTTGAAGAAGTGGGTTGGAGTGATTTTCTAGTTTGCTGTAGTACTTGGTGCTGTTTTTTCAGATGACTTCTGTTACGAAAGGAGTTTTTAGATCTGCATGTAGGGTGTGGTTGGATACATACCATGGTATGTTCGTTATGGATCGGAGTATTTCGGACTGGGCATGCTGTATAATGGCGATGTTGGATTTGCTGGCACAGCCCCAGAAAATTAGTAAATTGAAAAAATTTTAATTTATGGGGAGTTGTCATAGTATAATGTTTTCAACAAGTAATTATATATGTGTATAAAAGTTTTCTAATGTATGTGAACTATGGAGAGAGGAATTCACAACATTGTTGTTGGAGCTGAACCCTGTCCATCCAACTGTTAGAGAGTGAGTACTGTGTACTGAGGTTGTTACTAAGTGGTGGTTTTTTTCATAAATTGAAAATCTCTTGTTATAAAAAGTACTGACAATGGAATTTGTAAGAAGGAATTAAGCCAAAATTTATAACATTACAATCTGATGTAGAAATGTGGTATTTTAAGTCTTTAGTTTTGGTGGACATTTATATGGTTTCATTATAGGCACACGGAGTATATTTATCATTTTAAGGCCTCAAGTGTCCTGTTGTATTTATTCAGTATTTAATACTGCCCATAAAAGTTGTTGGATTCTCTTGAAAATTTATGATACAGCATAGGAAAATGTGTTTAATACTTGTATACGAAATTCAATCACAGTACTGTAGAAGTAGTTTTTCTTACACATACGTGGTCTGACAATAAAATTCACGAACTCATTGCGGTAAGTGCTACATACCTCATTGCTGAAGATCACTGTGGTCACCTTCAAAGTACTCCTCTTGGAAAGCTATGCACTGATGCCAACACCTAATCCACCCTTCAGAACAGTTTTGGAACTGGTTTTGTGGAATGGCCTTCAGAGCTGCCATTCTATTACTTCTGATGTTATCAGTGTCATCAAAATGCCTTCCTTTCAATATTTCATTTATCTTTGGGAACTGAAAAAAGTCACTGGGGGCTAGATCCAGTGAATAGGGAGGGTATTCCAGCACAGTTTTTTGTTTACTAACTAAAAAGTCCCTCACAGACAGTGGGATAATTCAAGCTCTGACATTCTTGCGACTGCACACCAAAACACACTCAGACATTAATAGATGCCACTCAGAAAGAGACTGCCATAGGTCAACAACAACACAGCTGTAAAACGCTGATATGCCAATGTCATCAAGTCATCATAAGGTTTCTGTCCACTGCTGCCACGGCACACGTGATGCTGAGTTTGTGAACTTTGTTATCAGACCTCGTAAGGACTTGCAATACTGATCACATCTCAGTAGTTCATTTTAGTATGATAGTCTTCAAAACATTCAGAACACAGTATAACATTACATATTTCACACCATTCCACTCTGTCCCTCATTTGAAATTGTAGAATATATGTAAATTATAGTGATTAGTGGTTTTGTGGTCAATGAATCTAGACCCCTGGAAAATATCTGAGCTACAAGTGAAGATTCCACTTCCACTGCTGCTTTTGGGAAGGATCTCTTCCCCCTCTCCTAAGCCACCCTACACACCTTTTATCTGTTGGCCGTGATACAAGCAGAAGTCATACAAACTCACAATAATGAAATCATTCACAATATTGGAGAAGGCAAAGCCTGACATAGAAAGTGTAAGAGGCTTAAACTTGGCAGCAGTCAAGCATACGACCGTTCAAGTGACCACACTGGACCAAGCATTTAGCACATATTGGGAGAAGTAGAATGCATATAGGATATTAGTGGGGAAGCTAGAAGGAAAGAAACCACTAGGAAGACAAGATTTAGGTGGTTGGATAATATTGAAATGGATCTTAGAGAGATAGGATGGGGTGGTGTGGATGGAATTGATGGGCCTAAGATAGGGTCCAGTGGTGGGGTCTGATGAACACAGTAATGAACCTTTGGGTTCTGTAAAATGCTGGGAAGTTCTTGAATAGCTGCACATCTAGCAGCTTTTCAAGAAGGGCTAAGTTCCATTAAGTTAGTTGTATGTTAATTAAAAACATTTGCTTATTGAAAGAGGCGGGTGAGACATTTATGCACTTCAAACTGCAGTTCTTGTTTTGTCTTTTAAAATTTTCAACTGGAACTGTTAATAATATTCATTTAAACTCAGTATTAATGCACAGATATTCAAATTTGAACTTTCTGAAATCTTCAGCTTTCTTCTAGAAAAGTTCAGTGAACCCATATGTATTTAAGTTAAAGAAAGAATGGTACTTATCGGACAGGCATTTAAAATTATATATTTTTTGTACAACCAGGAAGAAATTTGAAGTGCTTTGAATATTACTGATGTGTATTATGGTATTTAACTGAGCAGTTAAGATGTTAGGATATCACTCCCCAGATGTTTTCTTTATTAGTTATGACCTGATAGGATTCATTCTTTTCATTTCAGAGATGATTATAATCTCTAACCATTCAAACAGCAATTCTTTATTCATTGTAATGTTTATATCTCACAGGTATATAATATTAATGCCGATCACGGTAGCCGAGCGGTCTAAGGCATGCACTGTCTTCGCTCGCTCGGAAGCCGGGATCGTGGGTTCAAATCCCACTCAGGGCATGCATGTTTGTGTGCGTTTTTCTGTGTTTGTCTACAGGTAGAGGCCTTGCGACGAGCTGATCACTTGCCCAAGGAGTCCTACCGTATGTGTAAGATCTAGTAAACCGAAGTGAAACGGAGAGTTTCATGGAGGTAGGCCTAGGCCCAAATTGGGGCTGTAGCGCCACAGGAAAAAAATGTAATATTAATAGATGTAAGCACTGGTTAATGGCATAACAGCATTTGTGGGCATTGTGGTCACAGATTCAATGTAATGTTCAATCTTTGTGGATGTCCAGCTATTTTTGACTTAGCTTGACCATCTACCTTCATTGCAGTCCTGCAGAATATTCTCTTAGAATACTGAAAAGTCTAAATAGATCAGAATTGAGTGAAAGTAGGGCATGGGACTTCTTTTATTTCTATAGAAATCTGTTTTTCCTTTTGAACTGTGCTGAGCAAAACCTTTGCCACACCCTCCATTATTCCTTTTCTACCCACCATACCAGATTTAGAGAGCTCTGTAAATTGAAATGGACCATGACAAGAGAATGGTCGTGGAAAATCGTTCTCTTCTTTTCCCCCCCCCCCCTTCCGCCACTGAATATACCTGCCACTCATGAGAATTTTCGCTTTCCTCATCATCTTCCCCTTACAGTTAAAATGTTAATATAGTAGTACATCAGGTGCCATCAAGAAACTGACAGAGAGAGACTTCACACATTTGTGGCATGTGAAGGCAAGAAAAACTGAAAATTAAAATACAGTTTTAAGATTGCAACAAATTGTTTTCCACACCCTTAATGAAACAAGGGAATCAGCAGTGAAAGCAAGTTAAGTATTGTCTCATTTATTTGCATCATATGGAAGGCCGGTTTATTCCATGTGCTTGCAGATGTTAAGCCTGTTGGTAAAGTGAAGGACTAAAGAAAGAAAGAGACCATTACTCTCACTAGAAATATACTGGCTGAATGTGTGAATAACCTTGTCATTGACTTGAAAGATCAATTAAACGCACTCAGTAAAGAGTTCCAAGAATATTCAGTAGTAACTGATTAAACCACAGATGTCAAACATACTGCTTAGCTTGCAGTTTCCATTTGTATTTATAACCTTGAATGAAGTTACCATGTCAGTGCATTTTCCAAATCATCCTAGCACACATCTTGCAAAGAATATGTAATGAATAAGGTGTATTTTTCTTAGAGGATGTTACCATTATTTACGCCAGAAAGCAGTAAAAGAATTTAGAAGTTCACAGCACAGTACAGAGATTTAGGTCATGGAGGGGAAACTAACACATACTTTGTGATCATCAGTAAACAATTGAGAAATTATTATGAATGTTTTAAAATTCTGACATACACCCAAAAACCTTTCCAAGGAAACCAAGTTTCCTACAGTCTTACAATTGGTGATCCCTACTGTAGAAGTTTTTAGTTCCCGCATTTGAATATGTTTCATTGTATCACACTCCTTTTCAGTTCAATCTTCTCAGTGATCTATCATTTGATGTTTCTTGGTTTCATATTTTGTGGGTTACTTAACGTCACTGTCAGTATGTATGCTATATATCGACAGGTATTTCCTGTTATGTATTTGTTAGAGAAAGATAGTATGCTGTATAAGTGTGACTGTCTTCAATGACTAAGTAAATTAACATTTATTATAGTGTGAAGAGGAACGGAAGCTGTAGACTTCTGACCACAGTGTGCTTCTCAGGATGTGAGAATTTAACAGATTCTGCAATTACATCCTTGACAAAATGCTGGGAAAATGAAGAAGAAGAATTTAATGATGACTTAATAGACAGGGACATGCAAAGAAACTTGTCTTCAGTATTGATCATGCCAACAATGATGACACAGGAGGAACATTTGAAATCACTGATCAGGATTTATAATAAAATAAAATGGCCAAGTACTGGAAGGGACAGTGAAATTCTCTTGTCTTTTCCCTACATTGAGTGCAGAAGAAAAGCCAGAGTATCAGGGCTGCGATCCCTAATTCTTTCGGGCTGCCACAAACTTACCGATAAGAGTCTTGAAGAGTTAATGAAGTCAGGTACATCTGTACAAAAGCTGAGGTTGCTGGACATGAGTGGTTGTTTCCAATTCACAGCACACATGTTAAATAGACTAGTGAAGAAATGTCCACTCCTCAGCCCTGATTGTCTTTTTTATTGTGACCACATAAAAGGTGGGCCCTACAGCAATGAAGCAAATGGTTGCAACAATCTTCAGAGTGTGAAACGAGCTTGTTGCATACCACCTGAGTGAGTGGGATTGTACCACTGAAGAGACTTTGGCCCAAGGTTCTCAACCCTCTTGTCAAAGTTCCAGTGAAACCTTGACAGTGAACTTAATTAACATGGGTAGAGGTCTGGTTTGAAAACAATTAAATGTAATTTATGTGGAAATTAAATTGTTTCCTTTCTTGAGTAAACAGTGTAAACAACAGAAAGTACCATCTTCATAAGAGCAAATAAAATACTCTGGTTTTCAAAAGTTGTTACACCTTCCATTTGTCACTAGTTCATCAGCATCAATCTGTGGATGGCACTATCAGTTTGAGTGCATTCAGATTTGGTCCGCATATATATATATATATAAGTTATTGGCTGTGCATATTTCCTTTACATATAAATGGGAATTGTTATGTTTGTCCTGAGTTTATAGGTGTTTTAACAGTTAAATCTTACAAATTCTGCAGGCATGCATTGCTTAGTGGCATAGTGGATTCATCTTGCTTTGAATTTAGGTGCAGAATTGAAAGGTCACATTTTATCGTGTATTACAATGTTTTTGCAAGACCTAAAGATTCAGCACCCAATCGTTGGGCCTTCCTGTGGATTTAAGTCTGATGCATGTGTGTGTCTTTTAAGTCATATCTTTAAGTTATTTTGCTATTCCACAGAAGTTTGTAGCAGGCTTTTCAATCATTTTGAGCCTTCCTTTTCAGGGATATATATATGGAATGTTGTTGTAATTCTCTTGAGCAACACAAAGAGTATGATTCTCAAATTCTGCCTGAAAGTTATGTTGAACTGGAAAGACAGTGTGTAGGACAGTGAAATGATGCTAAGAGAATAAATTTGTCAAATAAAAGAAAACTGTCAAAATATCATCAGAACATTCTAATGTTGAAGTCACAGAACAATTTAAACGCTGCTGTTTGAAACAACGTGACTGCAAGACAGCCATTTCACCAAAATTATTGAATTTTGAGGCCTTGGCTTTAAATATTTTACAATTTTATGTTCCTGTAGCAAACTTTTAATGGTCCTTTTACTTTGTAAGAAGACGGTAATAGAAAATAATATGGTAAATATGATGGGCATATTTTTAGCTACAAAATGACATTTTTGTTTGTTTGCCATTCAGATTGTGGCCAGAAATTTGTGAAACACAGGTCATAAGTTGTCTGAAGTGGATTTGTATTTTATTAACTAGACCCTGTAGCCCTTATAGGTTATACTTCTCAACTGAAGGAAGGGTAAATTTGTTTCTCATGCAAAATCCATATATCCGTTTTTTCACAGCCAACTTCTTGGTTGCATGAAAGTAGTAAATACAAGTGCTATTCGGAAAGTAACCTCCAGTGAGCTGTTAACAAAACAAGCAATGAAAAAAAAAATTGTATTATATATTTAAAAGTACATACATACTTAAGCTATTTCATAACATAGTCACCATCAGAATTGAGGTCATCATCGTATTGGGGAGAAAGTTTTTGTATGCCTGTGTCAAAAGTGTTTGCCATCTGTGAACTCAGCCATGTTTTGACACCTTCCATCAACTCCTCATTACTGTTAAAGTGGTGCGATCCCAACCAGTTCTTCAGGTATATAAACAGATAATAGTCACTCGAAGTGAGTGAAGGGCTGTAAGGAAGGTGGTCATACAACTCCAATTTTAAATGCTGCAGCAGTGCTTGAGTGCGAGCAGTTGTATATGAATGCACATCATCATGGATGAGCACTAAAGCAGATGTCATCATTCCATGCCATTTGTTCTGAATGGTCAGCCCTGCGTAGTTTTGTTAGTGTTTCACAATACACTTCTGACATTATTGTGGCCCCTTGCTGCAAGAGTTCCACCATCAGCACCCCTTCCACAGGTGCCATCAGCTTTCTGGCAGGCAGACATTTGTTTAAACTTTTGCAGCCTGTTTGGTGAATGTGTGTGCATCCACTGCTTTGATGGCTCCTTGGTTTCAACATTCACAAATGAAACCCAGGTTTCATTGCAATCTTTGGGGTATCGCTCTAGAAAAGTCGAGGCTGAAGCCAATGTTGTGCAAAACTTGTGATAGCCTAGCCTAACTGTGATAATCTCATAGAGAACAGTGCATGAAATTTGTGGAAATTCACATGAAAGTTCTGAAATTGTGAAGTACTGTCATTCATAAATTTTTTGGTCATCAGTTTGAACAAGATCATCACTCACTGCAGATGACTGGCCGACCACTTCGCTCTTCATCATGAACATTTGTTTGCCCACTCGTGTTTGAACATTCTACACCATTATCTTAAAGTGCCTTCACTCACTACATGTTGTCCGTAAACCACGCATAATTTATGACAAATTCTGCAGCACTCATGTTTTTAGTGTGAAGAAAGTGGATAACAGCACAAATTTTAGGTCTGTGAAGCATGGAATAACAAGAAGTAATTACTGATTATCCAGTCACAATTTTATATATACATGTTTCACTCATTTCTATCATATGTATTCATTCACCCCAAGAGAAGCAGCAATGTACCTTTTGCTTTTTTCAGGTCTTTCCCAACACTCCAAAAGGCCTGTAGTAAGACATTCTTTGTACTTAAGAAATAGAATCTTCTGATGTAATGCGATAAAAATAAGGGAAGAAAAACTGTTCCCTAAGAGTGCATATTGATGCCCTACAAAGGTACACACACCAGCTCAGAGGACTGTCCACTGCACACCCTTGGAGGTCTTGAATTACTTTCACAGATCAGATAGCAGCATTCAGGATGGAGACTCAGATCATTTGTATCACAAAGGCTGTGAAGTAAGCTAATTATTAATGTGGCAGTTAAAGGAATTGATTGATATCTTCTGTGGACAGACTTCAACTTGTTGGACAGAATATTACACAGGAAGGGGTGAATACAGTTAGTTACTAATAACTGAAATAGTAGAAACTACAATGCTTGAGCCACACTGCAAGCAAAGGCAAACCAGCCATGTCTCTTTATTATATTTGTCTTACAATATGTCCAAATTAGGTAAACTTAGGCCGCACCATAGCTCAAGCGGTTAGTCGCTGGCTTCCCACCGCGGCGGCCTGGGTTCGATCCCGGGTCTGGTCAAGTGGGATTTGTGGTGGACAAAGTGGCGCTGGGGCAGGTTTTCTCTGAGTACTTCAGTTTCCCCTGCCAATCTTCATTCCACCAATTGCTCCACAATCACCCTCACCTATCATCTGGGGCTGGTACAATAGGCCAGAAGTGGCCACAGTATAAGGGACTTAGTCCCACCCCACTAGCAATTAAAAAGAATAGGAAAACTTAATGGCACACTTTGCACTCTTAGTGCAACTTCTGTACATTACATGTTAGATCAGTTGTAAAGTTTTCAGTGTAACAATTCAAATATTGCATTAGCTTTACATTGTGACTCCTAGCTGCCTTCAATGGGTGAAAATTTAGAGAATCCTATGAAAGGCCATGTTGGCATATATAGTATTGTGAGTAATATGATCTGAATGAAATACCAGGTTTTAGAGAATGACTGCTGCTGAGCTCTGCTTCAAGAGGCATTAGACCTTTTCCTGTTGCAGCTTCCAGTATCATTTGTATACATGTATACGTATGTTAAAAGAGGTGGCAAACCCATGTAAAATATTTTCTTCTTATTCAGGGTACAGAACTCTCAGTGGTAGGACTGCCAGTAAAAGAGGATAGCTATGGTTTGATCACTTTTGCATATCAGTGTTTCACAGCTATGTTGTTGTTTATCTATGGCAGTTTCTTTCTGAGTGGCATCTATTATTCTCTGAGCATGTTTTGGTGTGCCATCACGGGAATGTCAGAGCTTGAATAGAGCACTGTCTGTGAGGGAGTTTTTAGCTAGTAAACAAGTAACTGTGCTGGAACACCCTCCATATTCACTGGCTCTAGCACCCAGTGACTTTTCTCTGTTCCCAAAGATAAAGGAAATATTGAAAGGAAGGCATTTTGATGACATCATGAGTAATACTCGTACAGTGGCAGCTCTGAAGGCCATTCCACAAAACCAGTTCCAAAATTGTTTTGAAGGGTGGACTAGGTGTTGGCATCAGTGCATAGCTTCCCAAGGGGATTACTTTGAAGGCGACCACAGATTCAACAGTGAGATATGAAACACTTATACTGCAATGAGTTCACGAACTTTATTGTTAGACAACATATACAGCTATTCATCTCCTTCAATGCTATGTACATTGAGTACTATAATTGATGCATAGCTGCTACATAATTCACACATCAGACATCAAGAAATTTTAAGAGGAAAGTATAACAACATTTGCAGTAGAGGGAAGGAAGCAATAAACATGCAAGTTTAATAGTGTAAGAAATGGTACTGTTCTACCATCTGATCATGCTACTTTATGTTTAAAAGAACATGTCTCTTTATGAATTCTGTGCTTATATGTTGATTTAATCATGAGTAGAGTAAATTAACATGGCCATTAAACTAAAGGCTGTGGATTGGATGGAAATTTCTTCTAACCACTGTCAAGGATGTACAGGGTCCATGAGTGGATTCCATAAGATTAAGTACCACCCCTTATGAGTATATATTTGACCAACTCGAGATTCATGCTGTTGAGAAGGAATTTCATGAATAACTGTAAAATCATCTTTATTTGAAAAGAAGTAATACTGAACATATTAAATATTATTAGGAACAAAACTTTTCCCTAAACACTCATAGATCTTCAGTTTCTCACTAAGTTGACAATAGCACAAATTGTACAATGCCTATATATATTACCTTTCACTTTGCAGATATTAAGAACCATTTCATACAAATTCTGCTACATCCTGCATGTTAGAAATAGAGGTTTTATATGTTTCAAACTGAACACATCTTCAAATAAAAGTTCCCCTGAAATATTTGTTAAGAATTTCACAGATACTCAGTTCATATTTCATACTTAAGTAGTTTTGCTAAACTTTACTGAAATAACTTTGGGATAATAATATAAGGAAAGAATTTAATCCAGAATATATGCCTTGCACTTTCAATAGCAATCTTTCAATTTCTAAGTATACCCTGAACTTCATCAAAGTGAAAACATATGATGATGTCACTTTGCCCTTTTCTCAATCATGTGTAATAATGATAAAAAGAACAATGTTTTGAAAAATGTTTGGATATTTGGTGAGTATCATGCTCCAACAGTACTTGTTACAAGGGGTGAACAGTATCTTCTGATAAGTCTCCAGTTGCATGTGGGGCAAAACTTCCTGGAATTAGACACATCTATCATGTAACAATATATTTAATACCATTGTGCTTTCTAATGTTAGCGTGTTTGCTTCTAAATCTTAAAATTTCAAGCAATTACCTCACATCCTCATACCAATGTGTGTATATAAAAAGCAGCCACGAATGTAATGTAGACGTACTATGATAATCTTATATATATGAAAGAGTAATGTATCAGTGAGATGAGAGCTCTGAAATTATGGAGTTTCAGGTTACCATAACAACAGAGTGTCAAATGTTAACACAGTGCATGAACATAAATTATCTAGCAGATCATAAAACAAGTGAGCATAATATTTTAATATGGATGTGTAAAATGTAGTGTACTATATATATATATATTAATCATACCCATGAAATTTGCCAACCAAAATCTTNTATGGATGTGTAAAATGTAGTGTACTATATATATATTAATCATACCCATGAAATTTGCCAACCAAAATCTTGCATGCATACCTTGCCGAACCGTGTATGACATTTGTCACTGTTCTCTACCTTCACTTCTGAAACAGTATGAGGTTACAAGTTCATTCATTTAATGAAGCTCCCAATTATGAAATCTTCTCTATACCTAGTTCCTGCAGCTCTCATAGGTCTGTATATTCTGTTACCAGTTTACTTTCAGGCATCATAGATCTCTATTCCTCTCTGGAATGACATACCAACTTTCACACCCAGAGTGAAGAAAGTTAAAAATACTTCAGCAGCACAAAATAATTTTATCTTGCAGTGTCACATGTGAGCTGAATGCGAAGAAGTTTTCCTATACCCAATTAGAAATTTGAGATTTAATGCAGTAGAGATCTGCTATTTATTTGCCATATTCTTGTAGTTTCCATGATAATGAATCCCTAAGGAAAAACTAATTTCTTTAGAAGTTCATAAATAAACTTGTGTGTGCATATGCACACACGCTCGCCTGCACATTCAGTCATTCATTCAACCACGATGCATGCAAGAACACATGCTTTATTTACTCACAAAAATGTATACACATCCTTGTCAGTCCACCCATAATACTATCTTGCATACATAGTGACATTTATGAACCCCCATTAACACAAAGAAATGGATGAGAGCAAGTTGAATTTTCCAATTAGTTACAGATGTTTCTTAAAATTCAGTGGAGGTCTTATCTGATACACCTGTCTGTAACATAAGCCTCTATACAAAGAACTGAGAGAAATGTTGGGTCCTAAGAATTGCAGTATATTTGCATGTTTTGCTGTGTGAATACTTTCTGTGAGAGCTACACAAGGCAACGATTCTGCAGTGAATACAGTATAGTGACAATCAAAAGTATGCTAAGCTGAGGGAAATGACAAAAAAGGTTTATGTAGTAGCTTGTCTGAAGTGTTCTTAGCAGAATAATGTTGCTCATGTTAATGAAATCAAGAAGTGGAGCCCTGTTTTTGGATTTATCTCTTCTGATAAAATAAGCTCCATTATTATATGCCCAGAAGCAATCAATGGAACAAGGTCAGGAAAAGGCATGGAAAGTTACAACCAAGGAAGCAGCACATGTGATTTCCTGTTGTTCCATCTCTCAATTCCAGTATTTGTTTTGCCATGAAGTTACCTCTCTTTAGCCAATGACTGGAAATTCAGTTTTGAAGGAGATTAGGTTTTGATGGTAGTAATAACACAAAAAATAATTTATATATCATTCTGTAACAAATTTACAGTCCCATATTAACCTATCAACACATAGATACTTCAGAATATAACAAGAAGATATCTGGAAAAGTACAACTGATGAATTCATGCAGTCATGCATTACAGCAACTGTTTTTCCTCCTAATATACAAAAGCACATGAAGTGAACAAAGCAAAAATATTTTGTTACACACAATTTATTTTGTGTATATCTAATTGTAACTTGCCAAAACTGGGCTTTATCACCACAGAGAAGCGAAATATGACCACCAGCATCACCACCACTATGACAGTACAATCTGTACCTCTATATGACTACAAGGTCACAGCACTTGACCGACAGAGGAGGATAACTAGATTATGAAGATAAAATACATAATGTTGTAAATCTGAAAAAGAAGAAACAGTGTAAGAAACAGTGAAGCAGTAACTAGAAAAGAATGGCAGTTTCTAGTGGTGTAAGATCTGAATATTAAGTTTAGAGACAAGCAGTTAGTCCATTAGAAATTATAAAACCTTTTCAATGTTCTTTCTATTTGTTTTAATCAAAATACAGTGAATCTAGGATCTGATGATGAACTACATTAATCTGAAACTCCGGAGCAGTGTTTATTAAACTTCTGGCAACAGCAGACCATTGCATGGGCAGTCAGCAGACAAGAAGACCATTCAGTTATCATAACACTCCCCTTAGCTGTGAAGAGCATGCAATTGCACTTTCTTCTGCTAAATGGAGAAAAATTGTAGTTAAATTGTCCATAAACCACCTCTTTCTACCCACCAGTTTAAAGTCATTTTTTAAAATGATGATTGATGACAATATTTTAAATTTAAATTATTTCATTTGTTACATGTTATATAATACCATGGGCCTCCATTTATCCATAGACCCCAGTTTAAGAAATACTGCTCTAGATGTTACCAACTTAAGTTTGAAAAGATTTCTTCATTAGGCAAAATAATGCAGCAAGTGGGTTACCTCATTGACTATATATAACAAAGAGTTAAAAATATCTCATGCTTCAGCAAATTAAAAATTTCCCATATAGTGGTGAGACATGAAATTCTGTTGTACATATTATTATTATAGGGAATGTTTTGAAAATCCAAATAATATTTCGGTTTCATAAACATCCTTGATCTCGGTACCAAGTAACTATTGGGGTCAGTCCTTCTCAAGTTGGGCCAAAAGCACTGCAATTACTGCAGTCTGAGCAAGCCACTTAATAATGGAGGCCTCAAAAATTAAAGAAGATAAATATGAGAAAATTATATTAAAAGCCATAATCATATTCATACAATTATTGACATTTAAAACAATGTTTTAGAGACTGGACTCTTTCTCCGTCCTCAGATAATATGCCTAGTCAGTTGGGCCCAACTGACAGAGCTAGTCTCTCTCTCTCTCTCTAGAGAAATAAAAAATATCATACGTATTCACAAGTTGACAGCACACACACACAAGGACCGTAACTTCGAGCCTCGTCTGATACAGGAGGTTTTGCAACACCTGGGTGTGAGCAAGATGCGCACCACACCCCTGCACGCAGTCTGACGGCATGGACGAGTGCTACATCAAAATGGTGGAGGAGCACCTATGAAAAGTTGTTGCATCGCATCATAGGGATTGGGACGCAAGATTACCCATCTTCCTCCTTGCTTACAGGGTATCCACTCACGACACTATGGGCTTGCCTCCAGCTAGCCTTGTTTTTTAAAGAGAACTCCGACTTCCCTGCGACCTGCTGTTTGGGGTACTGACCCACAAACGATCACGTGGCAAATTTAGTGGACCATCTACACGATATCCACAATTATGCCTTCCAACACCTGTGCTGGTTACCATGCGGACAACAAAGTGTGGCTCTATCGCTGAACCTGCACACGGGAAACCGCCCAAGCTCCAATCCTCATAAGAAGACCCATACAAGGTAGTTTCCAGGATAAATGATGTGGTATACAGGATCCAGCAGAACCCTATATTGACGATGGTACAACTGGACCGGCTCACACCGTATCATGGAACTGTTCGGGATGAGTGGCCTTAAGAAGGGAGCAGCAATAGCAGTTGGAAAGTAATCACTGTGAGAACCGAGCCACTGGGAAGCAAGGCGAGACCAATCACAGACATCACAAGCAGAGCCCTCCAAAAAGAAGAAATGGCGGTACACCTGTAGGCTGTTTGGGACAAACAGCTTTGAGGAGGAAGCAGTGAGAATATTAGACCCATTGCCAGGCAATGGCCATGAAATATTATCTTGAAAATGACATGAATATGTGAAGAATACATTTGGAACACATAGTCATCTTACTAAATTCTGTAACATGGAACAACGTTAATTACTTATTTAGGCAGCCACATAAAATTGTAGTCCATAGTCTAATTTAGGCTGAATTATATTTTGTTGATAATGTAAGTTAGGCCTCAGTACAAAATCTGCCCATCAAGACCAGCAAGGAAATGGCAACAGACACTCTTTTAACTTAGTAGCTTAAGTGGTAATGTTTCTGACTTGTATCTGAGAAGCATCTCAAATCTTAGCCATTGTGCTGGTTGTCCTGACACATTTTTGTGGTTCTACATAGTTCACATATATGGATGCTGGGATTTCCTCCTAAGTGCACCATTTCCTTGCAGTCCTTTCTTGCTCACCATTAATAATTACTGCTTCAGGATCCCTGATGCTAAGTAACTCTTGCATTTGATATATCATCATTGAATAATATTTATGCCAAAAATGTTTCCAAAGCATGCCTAAAATATAATTTAAATGAATGCATTCTGCATATTATTTTATTAAATCTGTTGGGTTATCAGACAATATGTTACCTTACTTGCACTGAAGAAGCAAAATTATACCAACAACAGTACAGCTGTTGATGACAAGGCCAGTTGGGATGTATTAAGCTAGATGTCATACTAATGCTACAAGTAAAAGCACAAATATAAAATATACAGTACGTTATTGACAACTATAAAATCAGTCTGCTAGTAAAATGAAACTTCACACTAAAGAGTCATTCAGCAAGTTACTGTACCATGCTTGGGGAAAAGTGCTGAAGCAGGTTAAAAAATCATATGTAGTTGCATAAACAGTCTCATCTTACTTGCTTAACTTAATCTCACTTGTATTTCAATATATGCTAGATGTGATATGTCTCCAGTCTCTTGGTATACAAATACATTGCTGAAGAAGTATTTTTGAAGCCTATGTACATAATTCTTAGTGGGACAGAGTAGTTTGAATTATGTCTAGAAGCCTAAAGAGCTGTCAGAAAATTCACCTACCATGGACTGGTCAGCTGGGGTTTCAGAGTAGGTAATTTTACTTACCCTTATGTCAAAACAGCTCTGTCTGTTGCTATGCAGAGGGATCCTAGTGGAATTTCAATCAGCTCAGTAAAGATTAAAATTAAGGAAACAGTTCTGTGGGATCTTTCCCTGGAGGACAAGGATTAGTTGGACCACTAGTTAAACCTTCATCCCCATGACACTCAAGAATTACTGGGTTTCTGGACTTTGTCCATCATCTGGTATTATAAAAACTAGAGTATGAAAAGTTTCAGAAACTGGATCTGTTTCTGTCCTCAGGTGAGGGGGGAGACAACTACTCTGTTGGGTCCCTTAGAAAGAGCCTACTTCAATCACTGGATCAGGGGCACTGTGTGTCACATGCTTTCACGATGGATAGTTGCTCAGATTATTCTTCAACCCTGAAGATGCAGGCAATATATTCCTCCAAAACTTCAGTTGACTTTCATCAGACTACACATGTTATATCCCAGAAGATAGTAATCTTCGCCTGTGTATACTGTTGATAACATTGGAGAGAAAGGTTTCATAAGATTTTCTCAGACATTGTTGAAAACTGTTGTCACTATAGATAAAATTTACAGTGTAATGGTTCTGTATGATAAATAACCAAATTCTTTCTTTATGATGCAAATTTTATCATTGTACAAAATATGAAAATAGTTAAATAAGTGAATGAAAAGCCCTCACACAAAGAAAGTAGGAAGATTCCAAAGAAATACAGAAGCAAAAAATTTAGAAACCATGATTTTCCACACAAGAAATGTTGTCACAAATGTTCTGTATGTTAGTATGTTCAAATTTTTTTGTTTCCAGTAAAATAATAGACACATTCATTATAAAATTAGATTTATATAACAAGTTTTATATGCTGTATCCAATGTATTCTTAATTTTTAGAATATTTAACTAGATGAACACAAAGGCTACCCTTACAGCAGGATAGCCCAAAATTGTTTGACAGAGCCATTTATTATGTGTCAAGTAAATAAAAAATGAATTAATGGAAACTGCCACTAACACAAAGTCACTGTTCAAATAGACATGGCCTCATATGAGATCCTACACTTCAGGAATGTCTTAAGATTATTCACTTTAACATTTTCTTCTAGCATTTCTGCACATATACTGCTCTGTATTCCATTACAGTTCAGATGTACACAGCCAATTCTTGACCACACAAATACATGTTGGCAAGGAGATATCCTACCAACATATCACAGACAAAAATCTTTGTATGACAGTGTTTCCATATTCACGTAACAAAGGTTATTACTCAAAACTCAGAAAATTGTCAAAACTTAAACATTTTGAGATCTGTGACCATCATGTAATGCCCTCTTTAATTTAAAATTCATAATGAATATTATGGCAGAAGGAAGTGCACACATGAATACTATGACTCTTCTAGTATGCAAAGACATCAATTGATGTTATATTACTTCAAATCTTGGGTGTATGCTGAGCTTTTTGAATAAAAGAGTGAAATTACAATTAATAAGAAAAAAGGGGATCATTTATGAGTTTGCATGAGTTGTATTTCCTGCAAACCTCAAAATGAATCTTGAAATAGCATTCTTTTTTTTTCACTGTGTGCACCACATGCCTGAGAATTATAACTAGCATGTATTTCTCATATTTGGGGGGGGGGGTTGAAATTATATTTTAACACTACTTATAATATGCCTCATGTGTGTTCACATTTATCTGTGATATCCAAAATTTTCATGCTTGTAATGCCTTCATAAAGAAGATACAATATCTTTACAAACAGTCTCAACTGGCCAGGCACCAGGCCATTTTTTGTATAAACCTTAGGGCTCAAAGTGTTGAATCAATCACCTAACTGTGCAAATACCATCACATCTTCTAACTCTTTAGTAGGCATTGTAACATCCCCCAAAATCACAGGTAGTTTATAGAAGAATTTTCACTTTTTATATATTACATGTTTTAACATTATCTTATGTATAACAATGGCTACATTTCTCAGTGCATCATGACATCCAAGGATATGCCAATTCTACACTGATTATATTTCATACCGAACAAAACCTGTGAATATAGTATATACTTAGAGTGGGACAGAAATAACACCTGAATTATGAGACATACATTGTATATCTCACATTATATGCACACTATAATTATGAAACAGCAACTGTACTTGTACAGAAATTATACATAGTGGGTTTCATTATAACAAACTAATGTAGTAAGGCGTTTTCTTTTCTAATGACACATGTATGAGACTCAGTGACCTCATATTCTGGTGAAGGAAGTAAGGTTGTTACTGCCTGAACATTTTACTTAGGTGAAGTATCAATGAAAAGAGAATAAATAGTAATTTCAGGTACACTTCTACACAGTTCAAAGGACCATACCTGCCCTTTTGGTAAAATAAAACAAATCAAATATATGCTACCAGCCATGATTTGACCCTACAAATATGAGCTCATCTGGGATATAATACAACATTATTTTGGGCTTGTATTATAATGCAAATTGAAATTATCTTAAAGCTATATTTGTACGGTACAATTAATTACTGAGAATTACATATAAGAGAAAGGGGAAGTTAGGCTGAAATGATGATATATAATCAGGATCACACCCCTGAATGTCCCATTTATGATTAAATACAAATATATTTTACAAAATGCAATTAAACATATTAGAAAGTGTAGGGAAAGTTTTAATGAAAGTCATTACTTCAGATACAATGGCAGGAAAATATCAGTAAACATGGATTTCCGAGCACAACTCATAAAGCCTACTTTTGCACTCCATAGATTTCTGTTCCTACAGATCAATTACTTTTATGTTGTTTATATTTTTGTGAATATCTTATTAAATATACATTCTGTCTATATGAAATCTGCTGAATACAACCTCAAAGTTTCACACTAATCATGTTTTAAATGCTGAGTTACACTCTTCCACATATAGTGTAAGTATGTTTATGATCTATCTCCATACCAAATTTCACATGCTTAACTCCAACAGTCCGTTAGTTATAACCATCAAACTAAAAGTAAAAAAAAAAAAATTACAAAGCATGTTGTTATTTTACAGTATAAAAAAATATTATCTTCACAGAAGTTGCATATTTCTTAAGATTACTATAGATCATTTCAGGATCTTAAATTAAGTGACATCAGTGTCACTCCAGCCTTATAAGTTTGTGCATCTTCCATGATCTTACTGATTGCAGTAAACTATAACATATGGTATTTGGATAGCCCCCAAGGGAATGATGCTTACAGCATATTTCATGAAAATCAATCAATTTCTGCAAAAAAAAAATGTGCATACATGTATGCACGCATTTTTTGTCAAAAATATAAAACAACACAGTGCCTGCCGAACAATATAGAACAAACAGTAAAGGTGTCCCTGTACTTAGCTAATTAAGCACTATGCCATGAAGACATATGGGGAAGTGAATGTATAGATCCACCTATTCTTTACCTCGGCACTAGCTGGAGGTGATGGGTCAGCTTCATGCCCCACCCTCTTTACCCCCGGGGAAAGAGCCCCCAGTACCCATTGCATAGTGACTACTGTAAAATAATACTGACTTATGGTCTAATGCAAAGTAAATGATAAAATTGGAACAAGAATAATTAATAACATGCATAAAAACAACTCCACTCTGTACATGCCAGATCTCAGTACCAACAATGCTACCAAAATTACATAAATGAGACACATCATCAGGTAATAAAATATCACAAGATTTGCAAGAATGGAAATTACTTCCATTAGAATTCTGTTTACGGGATAGCCTGGCCTGCATTTGCCTCTGGCTCCATCAAAACACTGAGACTCCCCCCATTCTATATCGCTCTGGAGGCTGCCAAAGGCCACAGTTGCCCAAAAACCCATGAGGAACTTCCCAAAGGACTGTGCTATAAAAAGTAGCAGTGAAATTCTGAAAGAGGACAGTCTTAGTCTGAGCTGACTTGCAGCATAGCAGAGAAGTGTATACAGAAGCAGATGGGAAGCAGAAAGTGCCATGATCATGGTGTTACAGTGAAAAGACTGTTACAGTAAGTGGACAAAGAAATGACATCAAGATTGTAAGTGGAAACTCTTGGTGACATAAAAATTGCCCCAAATAATGATAAATGTAATGATAAGGAATAAGTCCATGATATTTATGTGTTATACAGGCAGCTTCCCTACTGAAACTGCTGAGAGAGAACAACCACTGTTTGCATTACAAACCCAAAAACATCTTTCTTTCTGAAATATGCAGTTTTGACCTGCAAACTTTTATTCATTTATATATTTTGGTAACCTTGCCTTATACATGCATACTAATGAACAACAAAAACACAGCTTGGAGCACAAGTTTATTCAGGTATCAAGGCTAAATATACTTGAAATAATAAGGTACAGCAAGCAAATGTGTGTGCTAGCTATGTGTTGTGGAATTACCAGTTGGAAGTCTTTGTAGTTTCTTGAAGGTATTTGATAATGTTCTGCACTACATCAATGCTTGTTGCTTGACCTCCCAAATCTGTTAACAAACCCACATAATTAAGGTACTGACATTAATAACAGACTTGTACCAAGGTAATCTACTGGAGAGATGTCAAATTCCATAACTGAAATAAGACACATATTAATGCTTGCAACTTTAGAAATATCTTATTTTATTGCCTTCAAATATTATATATAATATAATATACATAATATTTGAAGCATTAATATGTGTATTTGCTCAAGAAGGAGACAACTCAAATCTAAGACCCCTCTCCCACTAAGAAACATGTCTGCACATACATACTGATTTTATTTATTGATTTAATAAATTTACTGCAAGCAAACAAGTGAAAGATCTAAATATCTGAACAAATCTAATTTATTAAATCATTTTCATTCTTTGTGATCTTGATGTCACTACTAGCCTCTGTCCAGTTTCACTGCTCAGTCTCACTCTCTTCACCATTCCTCTCTTCTCTCTGTTTCACTGACTTCACAGTTGTCATCAACTTTCTCGCATTTACTACGAATATTTTGCCATGCTCAATTCATCACTCTCACAGTAATATATCTGTCTGGGAATAACTTCTTTTGGTTTATAGCTTCCACTTTGGGCAAACTTGTGGTAACCTGTAGCCCTAACCTTGAAATACACTTGTCTCTCCTGTATTACTCTCTATGGTACTTTGAACAAACTCATAGCTTGTGGCTACTGACCTCTCTTTCACCTGTTGTGATGATGGCATGATATGACGTGAGCATTAGCATATACATTTTGTGTGAGTTTTAAGGTGTGTAAGCACTAAAAGCTATTCTCACCTACTATATCTTAAAAGACATCAACTTGCCAAAAGCTCAAACCATTTAAAATGGAAACACATATATCTTTTGTACTTAAATCCAAGGTGATCCTTTAATTTTCAGCACCAAAATTATGGAGAAACCTAAAAGGGGTTGATCATATTCAGCTAAGTTGAAAGAATTGGAAATTAAATAGCTGTGGCCTATTTAAAGTATTATACCAGCATCTACTTCATGGAATTGAAGAAAATTGTGAAAAACTCTATCGGGATAGTTGATGCCCTAACCACAGTTCAAACTGGACACCTCTTGAAAACAAGTCATATGCCAATATGTTCACTGAAAATATCAGTCAGCCTTTTTGCTACAGGAAAGTTACGTGTAAAAGTGACCATAAAAACATAATACTTGGTGAAGCGGCCTCCGTAGTCTAGGGGTAACGTTCCCACCTCATGACTCAAGGTATGCGGGTTCAAACCCGGCGGAGGTCGTGGAATTTTTAAGGGCGGAAAAATTCAGGGAACAAGTCCTTCGGGAGGGACTTTAAGTCGTGGGTCCCGTGTCGTAGATTTACGGCATGTAAAAGATCCTCGTGTCTCTAGGAAACCTCTGAGCAAAATTAGGTAACAAGTTTCCCGCCCAAGTAGTTTCTAATGCCTCTGGTAAATGGGGGAAATATCAGGTACCAAGGGCCGACCTCGTTGGCTGAACAGGGCTGATAGCACACATCAGTACCACTAGGGTATGGCGACAGTAGAAATTAAAGGGGGACGCACAATGGACCAATAACTGGTCTAAGTGCATGGGGAAACCCACCCCCTCTAATAATAATAATAATAATAATAATACCTGGTGTGTGGATGTGATCTTCATTGATAGTCCTATCAATTGCTGTATGAATCATGTTTGCATGGTAGTGGTGCCCCAGGTGCTCCAGCATGTCCACAGCTGCATTCAACATGGCAACAGGGTTGGCAATGTTCTTCCCTGCAATGGCTGTTCCAGTGTTGCGAGTGCCTGGCTCAAATATGGCATACTTTGGAGGAAAATAAAATGTCACATATTTTTGGGAGCCATGAAAATGTAAATATTATAGTGAGGAAACCTAAAATATTATATACAGTTATGTGGATCACTGAAAGAAATTCTTACATCACAGAATGTTAAGCTGGGATTCTATTCTAGCAGGGTTCCCACCAACAAATATTGCCACTAACAGACTAGTTTCAGAGAAATGCAGGAAAGTCAAGAGAAGAATGAGTACAGTATTTTAACAGTAGTGTTGATGTGAAGTAACTGGTTGGGAAAGAACTGATCTCAAGAGCATACACAGAACACAGATTTTATAAATTGTAATAGAGTTTTTTAATGAACATTACATAGTATCTTAAGGTAGACTGTATGTGTGAATACATCTATAACAAGCAAGATGTCTGTATGAAACTTCTAAAATTCTAATAGTCTAAAATAACAAATGTTGTTCATAATGGTTTTATAGTTATAATTGCTGTATTGTTGACAGGCAAGAAGGCTATTTTACAAATATTGTTACAAGACGCCTGAAAGCCGGAATAGTGAAGCCAGAAGAGATGGTCATTGTTAGGCAATGACTGAGTAAACATGTTCCCTCTATAGCAGACATGCACATGACTACAGAGAACTGCTGGAGGTGGTGTTTGCTATGCAGCCTGCGATTAAATAAATACTAGAAAGACCAGCAAGACCAGGACCAACAAAAATATGGCTGGGTCATGATGGGGCCAAAAACCAAGAATGACTGTGCTGGTGAAGAACACCAGAAAATGGATCCCCTGCTCAGGACCACAGTTGGTGGTTATCAGTTAGTCACTAGCCAGCAAGAACAGGAGCTGTTGAGTTCAGAAACAGTAAAAGCAATCCCCATTGTCAAAAGCTGCTACCAAGTAACATGTAGTAAAGTAAAAGTAAAAAAGTAAAGCTATCCCTGTACCAGGCCNGTAGCAGTTATTCATAGTTGTACTTATTTGCAGATTTTATAGAGTAGTAAAGTAAAAGTAAAAAAGTAAAGCTATCCCTGTACCAGGCCATGAAGGCCCATAGGGTTGTGAGATGTTGAGGGTCCCACATTATCTAGACAATCAGCTCAAAAATGGTGGAAAGGTTGTCAGCCTTACGCTCCGGCCGCACTTTACTCCCCAGGAAAATTATTTAATTAATTCCTGGTACTCATTTCTGTTAGAGGCTGAGTGAACCCCAGGGCCATAGTGCGGCTGGAAGGATTAGGTCAATTGAAAAGATCCAATGACCTCAGCAGGACTTGAACCCGCAACCTTCCGGCTTGTAGCATAGTGCCTTAACCACTAAGCTACTGCATGCCCCATTTCATAAAGTAGTGAGAATGTTAAATTATTTGTAGTTATACATATATAGCATTTAATATTGTCACATGTTTGGAATTCCGAAGAGTTACTACCATGGAAACACTAAAATAAACCGTTGCATACGTACGGACAATAGCGATATTGTTGCGATACATCGTTTCCTGGGGCAAATAAACTCGTTTCATAGGAGATGAAAGGTGACGAATTGTTTGAAGCATTGAATAGCAACCGCCGAAGAAGTTAGTCCGAAATTAACCGCCGAAGGGAATAGTCTTGGAATAGCTGCCGCTGAAGAAGGCTGGAACCTAGACGCCAAGAGATACAGATGTACTGGCTGAGATATTGTAAGCAGTCATTGGACTACAGCAAGTGGTGATGATTGTAAGGTGTGCAAGTGAATTACAATAAAGATTTGCTATATTTAATATGGCGTAAAGTTATTTGTAGCGTGACCCACCCAAACACGCTACAATATATTCATTTGTCAATCCAAACCCTGTGTCTAGTCACTAACACATGACAACATTAATGAAGGTGAAAATCAGCACTCTAACAACGAACTGTAAATAGAATTAAATGTTACAGAATTAGTGACACAGAAGATGATACAGTAGGACTGAAATTAGGACTGAAATGTGCAAACAAGAAACATACTGATGAAAGCACAATTAAACTAGTTGGAAATTGTAAGTAATTACATTTGGGTGGTAGTTCAGATTTAAAATTTCGTGACTGCTGGAAGTCAATTTAATCCAATATGGTCTGAAGTGACATTCTGTGCTTGAAGTTTATTAAGAAGTTCAATTATTGAACACTTATGACTTGTAAATATAAATGATTATAACACTCTCACTAATCTACACACTTTACAAATCGTTACAGCATATACTCAGTCTCCACAGCCAACCACCAACAATGGCTGCTGACTCACAAGTAACTAACTTGTCCTGTTGGTCCTTGTTACATAGCCTCGCCACATAACACATGTAAAACACTGCTTCCC